CCCGAGCCGCCCCGCGGGCGCGCCCCGCACACGTACACACACACACTCACGGGACTTCTCCGGCTCATCGAGGGAGTGCGGGGCCCGCGGACAGCCCCCAATGTCGGCTCAGGTCTCCGGCTGTGCTGGCGGCAGCGGCGTCTCCGAGGCTCTCGCTTTGCCGCAGTCGCCGCCATGTAACCCCGACCCGCGAGAGAGGGCGAGGGAGAGGGGGCGGGGTCTCCTGCACCACGCCCCCTCGCGTCACAGGCTCACTCCACGGGTTCCCCCGCCCCCGCCCGGCCCCGAGCGCCTGCACGCGCCGGAATTTCCAACGCTGGTGACTGGGCTCCGCGCGCTGCGGGGGCGGCTGGAGAGGCACGCGGTCCCGTCAGCCGCCTCCGGTGGGCTGGGCCGGGGGCTGGCGGGGAGGTGGGCAGATGGGCCCTTACCCCAGCACTACAGCTCAAAGTGACCAAACTCCTTGCCGGGGAGGGGGAGGGGGTTGGTTACTGCGCACCTAACACTGGCAAAGCAACCGGCGATCCAAGAGGAATGAGCCTTCGTCCATGTGCCCAGGGATGGGCCGGGAACACGAAAGGCTGGGCCTGAAGATGGATTGGCTAGAAGACAACAGCCGAAGTACCAGGCAAACGCTGTTAGAGGCCAAATGCTAAGAAGGTCATTAATTCTGCCTGAGGATACGGAGGAAGGCTTCTAAGTGAGGTCGCCACGGGTGACCTTTCATGAAGCTGGATCAGAAGGAGCCCAATATAACCGGAGGGGGTGAGGGAGAGGGGGAGAGCGGAGGGAACTGTAAGAGCGAAAACAGGAAGGAGAAAAGCACCTGGCTTGTTGCTGAGCTGGGACTAGGCCTGAATCGTAGAATTTGGGAAGGGGTGTACTGTGAGATGTAGTGGGAAATGTAGGGACCATTTGGATGAGAGCAAACTTGTTTTATTTACCACGGCCTATTGGGTCGGGGAAATTTATGTAGATATTTATGAAATTAGAGACGCGGGTCAGCATATTTTTTCAATGACAGTCATTTCTGATGAGAACCAAACGTTTGGCAGTCCCTTATCCATTATTAGACACATCTTCAAGCTTCAAGCTTGAGGCAAATAACCACTTTAAAGATCACATAGTAGCTTGAAGTTAAGTGGTTGGGATGGAACTTGAATGTTTTTTATTTTTTATATTTAAAGCAATACCATCTGAGTACCAGGTGTGATAAAGTGAGTAAATAAAACCAAGAGAAAGGGAAGGCCTGGTCCAACTTGTAGGATTTCTAATTTGTGGGTGGAGCCTCTCTGCAGCAAGAGCTCCTTACCTGTGACCACCATACATCTCTACTGTCCCTGCAATAGGATACTCTCAGATTCCTGAGACACCTTTCCTTCCTTGTCCATTAGTGTTTCATCACCAGGAGGAGGTAGGAGGAAAATAAATACTGCGTTTTCCCTTGAGAGCTTATAATGTAGTGTCAGCTCCTGACTTCCAGCAAAGACCACCAAAAGAACCCGTTGATCAAACAAAGCTAAGTTTATTGTTTACAACAGCAAGTGATACCACTGTGTTGACAGAGTTTTAGTAGCATCTCAAAGAGGGAGGTCAAGTGTAGAATAGTTAGAAGATTCAGGGCATCTGGTTTAAGACAAGTCTTTCAATGAAAGCATGATTGAGACTGAACTAAATTTGTGATATAATCATTTAGGATGATTACAGGGAGGGGAGAGTTTTGAAGCAAGCCTAGAAGAGTAAACAGTTGTTTGATAAACCCAAGAGTAATTGTGTTGAGGAGCAGGCTCCTTATCCTGATGAAGGCTATGTCAGTCAGTAGTCTATTGTTCAGATAAATAAGACTTTGAGGAAGTTCCTGAAACTGCAGTTATTTGCAACTTCATCTTCTTGGGCAAGAATTTCTTGGAATTCAAGTCATGTTTTTGCAAACAGTGGAGTTGTAAAGTCATGTTCCTGTAGTCCGTCTGAGTTCTTAATCCTATTGTATGTCAGTAAATAGTCTCAATTCTCAGTTTTTCAAACTGCAGTTTATGAATCAGTAGTAAGTAGTGAAATGATTTTGGTGGATTATGACCAGCATTTTTTTTCTTAAGGAAATAGAGCAAAAAACTAGAGCATTGCCCACAATAAAGGGTAAATATGGTTTTGTGAAACTTTTGTTTCCATTATGTACTATATTTCAACAAATCTGAAATGTCATAAGTTACGACACACCATTACTTTATGTACTGTTGTTTGAAAGGGAAAACAACAACAAAAAAGGAAGCAATATCTCTTATCAAAATATGATACTCTATTGCTATATCCTGATTTCAGAAATATTAACATAGAAGTATTTCTTAAACTTGATGAAATAAGGTATATATAAATGTGCCAATTGGATAACAATGTAAAATGTATTTCTACTTATCACCCGTTATTGCTACAAACTATGCTATTGTTAAGAGAGTCTGAAAGCCACTATTGTAGTGGAGTAATGCAGGAGAGGATCAAGTAAGTACACCATAAAGCAGCATGAGATGAGTGCTTCCAGAGCAGAAATGCAAATTACCTGCTCTTATTGGAAGGAATAATTAATGAGAACATCAGGAAAGGTTCAACTAGAAGAGAAAATATCTGAGCTGGGCTTGATTCCATCAGGAAGGGTAAGGAACAAGATTTCTGAATGAGAGAGCAGAACATACAAAGGCAGGCACTTGGGTGGCTCAGTCAGTTAAGCATCCGACTCTTTGATCTCAGGGTGGTGCGCTCAAGCCCCACATTTGGCTCCACCCTAGGCGTGGAGCCTATTTTTAAAAAAATGTACAAAGGCATAAATGTGCAGGGCACACTTTGGAAATGGAAGAAATCTGACAGGCCTAGGGGAATGAAGACAAGTTAGTGCCAGACTGAGAAGGCCTTGATTTTATGTCAAACTTTTGGATTTATGCTAAAGGAAGTAGGAGATGATGCAACTAGTAGATAATACAACTAGTATTTTATTTTATTTTTTTAAGATTTTATTTATTCATTTGAAGAGACAGAGCACAAGCAGGGGGAGAGGAAGAGGGAGAAGCAGACTCCCCACTGAGCTGGGACCCCGACATGGGGCTCAATCCCAGAACCTGGAGATCAGGACCTGAGCCACCCAGGCGCCCCACAACTAGTATTTTAGACCGATGATTCTGGCATATATGGGAAGGGTAGGTTAGATGAACAAGAAATTGGAGACAGGGAGAGGGTAGGAGAATCCATTGTTTTTTCTGCCCTGCATCCTTAATCTGATAACAATACTGTGATGTCCTCTAAGAGCCACCCTTTCCTGAGTAAGTCAGAATTCTGTCACAGTGATGGAAAACCCAATCCAAACTCTGGTTTAAGCATGAGAGAAAAAGAAAGGGAGAGAATGTGTCTCTACTGGGCACAGAAAGGAGACAACAATACAAGTGATATTCTTGGGGCAGAATCAGCTCGTCTTGGTGAATGCTTAGATGAGTGAGGGGTGAGTCTGGAGTCACCCAGGAGCTCCCACTTCACCTATTTGAGTTTAAATTCCCACATTAGGCTACTTGTTTTATCTTTTCCCAATTTGATTATTATCTTCCTATTAAGATAAACTGCCAATATCATGATTTGCAAGATGGAGGGAAAAACAGATTTTAAAAATACAAGCCACTAAGCTTGATGCCAATCTCTGGAAATTTTACAATATAAATCATTGAACACAGTGTGTTAGGGAAAATATAACTGTTAGTAGGAGTCATGGATTGTTTTCAAGTAAATTATTACAAAGAAATACCACTTCCTGGGGCATGTGGGTAGCTCATTCAGTTATGCGTCTGACTTTGGCTCAGGTCATGATCTCAGGGTCCTGGGATGGAGCCCCGAGTCAGGTTCCCCATTGGGCAGGGAGTCTGCTTCTCCCTTTCCCTCTCCCTTTGCCCCTCTCCCTGCTTGTGTTCTCTCTGCCTCTCTTTCAAATAAATAAATAAACACTGAAAAAAGAAATACCACTTCCTTTCTTGATAGGATTATTACATTACTGAACAAGTGTTGGGCAATTCAAAAAGTCAAAACATCTTTTGGATGAGATGAAGAGATAATGGGCTTATATTATTGCAAACAAAGGTTGATTCAAACAGTGCTGACTAATGGAGTGACACAAATCTTGAGGTCTTGAGTTCTCAAAAAAAAGCAATATAGACTTTCTTTTTCCCTTTTGGCCAGTCCTAAGTAATATTTTTGTCAATATTTTGAATTAAGATACCAAATTTAAGAACTCAAAGATTTCAGAAATGATAGATGACAGAATAACTATTCAAAATCATGTTTGTTTGTTTTTTTAAAGAGATGACATTAAGGTTAAATGTAAGTACAGTAAATATAAAGTGTAGTATCTGTTCAGAAAAATCATTTGAGGGCGCCTAGGTGGTTCAGTCAGTTAAGCATCTGCCTTCAGCTCTGGTCATGATCTCAGGGTCCTGGGATTGAGTCCCACATTGGGCTCCCCATTCAGCGGGGAGTCTGCTTTTCCCTCTCCTCCTACCTCCTCCCCCCCATCATCCTCTCTCTCACTCTCTCTCTCTCAAATAAGTAAATAAAATCTTTAAAAAAACTCATTTGAAAAGGGCCAGGATTTGGGAGATTCAGCTTGACCTGATACTGTGACAATAAGTTACAGATCTTAATGCAGTGTGAGCAACCACCAAAAAACTAACATAATGTAAACTGAGTTAAAGTGAAACAGCATTCAAGTCACAAGTGTACCAGACCTGTGCTGCTGAGGTCAGGATTTCTGAACTTATGTGTTCAAATGTAAATATCACATAAAAAGAGCTACCATACGTAACAAATTAGGATTCATTTGGAAGAGACAACCAGGAAAAGTGGAAATCTTGTCCTCTGAAGAAAAGTTGAGGGAATTGGGTCTACTTAACCTGCAGAAAAGAGATCTGATAAACAGTTCTTATGCAGAGGAGAGAGTAGATTTGTTCCATGTTGCTCTGGAGTTCAAATCTAAACAATCAGGAGGGCAATTTCCAAGAGGAAGATCTTGGCTTAGCGTAAGAAAGGACAGTTTTGAATATTGGAACTGAGCCACAGTGGACAGGACTTCCTGGTGAAGTGAGCTCCATATCACTGGAAGCATTCAATCAGAAAACATGGCCACCTGTCAGGGATGCTATAAAAGGAATTGATGGGGGGAGGACAGGCTTGCAGAG